TAAGTGTATATAGAGTTTGTTAGCTGCCATGTGCTCCTGTAAGAATGGACAGGATACAAATAAAATAATTTTTAATTTTAAAGCATTAGAAACAAATTTTTGGATGCTAGGTCTAGGCCAAAGTTTTGCAATTCACATGCATATGGGGTAGTTCCCTATCAACCTCCCCCCCTCAAGTTCCCATCATGACTTCCAGTTGCATAAATGAAGGTGGCTTTAGAATATCAGCTCTTCAGAAGTCTAAGAGGTGCTGGCTAGTAGGATGGTTTCAGGTTGAAGGAGGATAATGTGATGTACCTGCTAAAGACTGGTCTGGAGCCTTTTGGGATAATCCTGGAATGTTGTAGAGCAGTGGTCCCCAACCTTGGGCCTCCAGATGTTCTTGGACTACAAGTCCCAGAAGCCTTCACCACCACCTCTGCTGGCCAGGATTTCTGGGACTTGAAGTTCAAGAACATCTGGAGGCCCAAGGTTGGGGACCACTGTTGTAGAGCATTTCAGCTAACAAGATATAATCATCACCTGAAATTATTAAGGTTATTTCAACTACAACTATTGCAATATTTCAACATTTTCTAGTCTTATGGTTTATGAGAATAAACAGATACATGCAACCAATCATAGTCACACAATTTAAAAAATCAGCAGGATCACAACAGAGTAAACTTTGATGCTTTATATTTTTACATTCAATAGAGATCACTCTCAGGTTTAGCCATTGATTTTTGTGCTCATTAAAAATATGGCAGCTGCTCACAAGAGACAAGCCCGCGCTACTGCAGAATTTTTTTAATGTGCTGCATTGTAAGTCTGTAACACTGAAATTGTCTTCTTAAGGAATTAGTTAGTGAAAAGACTGTTTCTATGACTTCCAAAGAAGGCAGATTTTAAAAAATTGATGTTAAAACCAGTATTGGTAATGTTATCAGAAATTCAGGCTACAATTATTGGATACATTTTCAAACTGCACAATATGCATCAAACCAGCAAATAGTTTGGTGATATTTCAATGCACTCAATGAAGTGATCTGGTCTGTAAAAGCTTATGCCACAATAGATTTGTTACCCTTTATAGTACAAGACTCTTCTGTTTTTAGAAGTTTGTGTGTGCACTCATTGATGTCCATGTGCTGGTGATATTGTTTTGGCTGGGAACTCTCCTGGTGATAAAGACAATTTATTGTTCACATCCAGGATTAATTACAATTGCTGATTGATTTTTTTAGAGTAGTCTCATTGAAATGAAGCCATTTGACAGGTCAATACTAATGTAAGTTCTGCTGAGTGAATCAGTCCCCTTTAACTGCAACAGGAATTGGATTTAGACCCTATGGATTGTACGTATGTATGTGCCTTCAGTCTGGTTGTTATGTAGTTTGATATTCATGGTGCTTGAACATTTCCTAACTCCCCAGTACTGATTCACGGCTTACAACATTGATCTATAGCAGTGGTTCTTAACCTTGGGTTACTCAGATGTTTTTGAACTGCAGCTCCCAGAAACTCCAGCCAGCACAGCTGGTGGTGAAGGCTTCTGGGAGTTGCAGTCCAAAAACACCTGAGTAACCCAAGGTTAAGAACCACTAATCTATAGTATCAGTGAAGTAAACTGAAAACACGTATCAAGCCACAAACTGAAATACTGGCCTGTTGGAAATCAGTGACAATACTTAAGAGTGCAATAAGAATTCTACATACCTAGCAGCAGCAGCAGAAGGAAAGGCACTACTGACATAGAAGAAGTTCGTACTGTTCTTGCTTCTGAGTATTAAAACCAGAATGCCATCCTCTGGCACCATTTTTCAAACTGAGTACTATAGGCTGTCTGTCAAATTACCTGAGAAGGTGGCTTGACAAGATCAAATGGCAATGATGTCATTCAGGCCAGGTCCACATGTCACAAGAACTCTAGTGAACTCTGGCAATTGGTATCCTACCCCTGCAATTGGTATCCTACCATGGGTCTGTGGCATGTGTTTAACAGACATGAGTGGAGCAAATGTTTTCACTTATCTTGCCAACCAATAAGTCAGAGAACCAAGCCTGAACCAAGCAGCAGATTCTTTCACTGGCTTGTTGGGAAAGAAAGAAAGAAGCCAGAATGCCAGCTCATGCTGAATAGGAATGCTGTACTAAACACACCAATGAATTGAAGGTCTCGGTCTAGAATGAAGTAAATGGGTAGCAGGAGCTGGTAGGTTGCGAAGTCACAAAAAGCCTGAAATACCTCTAGAATCATTTACAAAGTCACTTACAACTCCCTTGTGCTTTCAAAGTTATGAAGAAGTACAAAGCAGAACCTGTGCACTCTTTCTGACATCCCACGAGATTGCCAAGATATGGATCAGTTGCAACCTGCTTTTCTGTCAGACATTCAGAGAAGTAGCACATGAAGAGATGGCTGGCTTTGCAGAGCCTGATATTGGTCTCAGTTGAGCAAATTTATACAGTGGTGCCTCGCTAGATGATGATATTCCGTTCCACTGAAATCGCTGTTTAGCAAAATAATTGTCTAGCAAAAAGCATTTCCCCATTGGAATGCACTGAAACCTGTTTAATGCGTTCCAATGGGGAAGAATCGTAGTTGTCTAGCAAAGTTCGGCCATAGGAAAGCCGCTTTGCAAACCGCCAATCAGCTGTTTAAGTTGTGGTCTTGCGAAGCTTAGGTCCGGAAAACACCCGTTTTGCGAGCATGGAGGGAGCTGTCAAAATAGTTGTCTAGCGAAAATTGGTTTGTGAAGCAGGGACCAAACATTGTCCAGTGAAATTCCCCCATAGAATCACTGTTTTTGCAAATCGCTATAGCGATCGCAAAAAGTCAATGTCTAGAGAAAAAAACTGTCATGCGGGGTCACTGTCTAGCGAGGCACCACTGTATAGGCATTTGGAAAGCAGTACTGTGCTTGTGATGGGTCTGATAGGAGCCACAGCTCACAAGAAGAGCATATGCACGGCACACAGTAGGTCTCATGTTCAGAAGATCCCAGATGGCATCTCCAGCTTAAAGACTCTTGACTTCTACTTACATATGAACAATTCACTAGTCATCAAACTGCACTGCAACCAATCTGTCAATGGTCTGATTCAGCGTATATGCTTCCCATTGCAACCGCAAAGAATCCTCCCTAAAACTCTTTAGTTCAGAGTGTACTTGCTCTTTTGAGTCAGAATTTTACATTAGCAACCACTTGTCCTGTTAGCTGGGGTCATTTTCAGTTGTAGATTTCCGAGCTGTGGACAAGATGGTTGGAACAGTCAGAGTTACCACTTTGCCTCTTGTGGTTAATTAAATCTGACAAGTGGGTACTGACACCATGGTTAATGGCAATGATATGTGTTTCTTTATAAGAAAAGGCTGTCCCTTCCTCTCTAAAAGAAAGTATCTGCTTATGAATCCTGTCCTTGACCCAGAGGTTCAAGCTACTTATAGGCCAGTCTCAAATTTACCATTTCTTACTAAATTAATTGAAAGACTGGTAGCATTTTAACTCCAAACACATCTGGACGACACTGGTTCTCTGTACCCATTTCAATCAGGTTTTTGGTTGAAATATGGTAAAGTGTCTTTGGTGGATAACCTAAGCTTGGAACCCAACAAGGAAAGTGTGGGCTTGTTAGTATTCCTGGACTTCTGACCAATTGGCGGTGTTGGGCACTGGGGCATTGTATTAGAGTGATTCTGATTCTTCCCTTCAGGATATATTCAAAGGTGGTGATGGGAAAGTATTGATCAACAATGCCTTTGGCATGTGGCATTCCTCTCAATCCTGTCCTCCTATATTATTCAACATCTATAAGAAGCCACTGGAAGAAGTTATTCAAAGCTTTGGTGTGAGGTACCAGCCATAATGCTGATAACATGATGCTCTGTTGCTCCTTGTCATCTAACACCCAGGGAATAGTCAAGATCCTTGGATGTTGTCTGAGCTTCATAACAGACTGGATGAAAATGAACATGCTGAAGTTAAATCTTAATAAGATAGAGGTACTGCTGGTGAGTAGAAAAAGAAACTTGGAAATTAGGATTCTACTTGTTCCAGAAGGTGATGAATATCACTGGCAGGTCAGGTTCTTTGTCTTAGAACATTCCTTGACTCTGCATTTTATGTTTTAATCTGTTTTTACTGTTACTTCTATTATGTTTTATGATTGTAAGCTGCCTTGAGCACTACCTAGCAGTGGAAAGGTGGGATATAAAAGCAATAAAAATAATAATGCCACTTTGAACATTCACATGCAAATAGAACATGGTAGAACCCAGTATAATGGACCTTTAGTTAAATCAGCTGTATTTTTTTGTTTATAAAACTTGTATTTTAGGACAGAAGTTAATGCATATTCTATACTGATGCACTGTGCAATTGTTTCAAAGATGATCAAAATTAAGGACAGAGGTGGGTTTCATAACTGAACTCATAGCAGCTGAATACTTCCACAGTCAAAATACTTTCTTCAACTAAATATTGAGAGATGGTATCATAATTTATGCACAAAGAACCAGAATCCTATTATTCTTCTCCTCTGTGCACGCCACTGCCAAAATAGCCCAGCTGTGCAAAGGGGTATCACTACCTCTTGTGCAAACATAAACCCCATTGTTTCTGAAAGGACAGGCTTTGGCTTGCATAACTGCAAGCCAGGGATTGCTCAAGTATGCCAGAACAGCCCATTTGTGGAGTTTGCCCACTGTTACAAACAAGGTTCTGACCAACGCTGCATCATTTTCAATTGTCAGTGTATGCCCCAAATGCAACAACATCCTATTTACACATAACAGATATATAACAAAATTTCCCAGTTGTAAACTGCTAGACTTTGAGATAAATCTCAGCTGAACTATGGACTTCCCTGGTTGGCACTTGGAACATCGTTTCCAATCTGTAAAACACCCTAGCCTACTTCAGAGGGTAGTTGCAAGAATCAGCCAAGGTCAAGCTTATAACAGAGAAAGATATGGATAAAGAACCATCAAATTATAACACATTAGTTTCTTGAGTTTGTATTTATAAAATCTTCACTCCCCAGTTCCTTCCCATTGGTAAAGGACCATCAGTGAAGTCACGGTTAGCCAAAGGAAGACATTCAGTGCTGCTTTCTTCAGTGCAATACACCCTATGAACAAGGGTACCTAGAAGCCAAAGCCAGCTACAGATCCTGCCAATTTGTTGCAAGACATGGTTTGCCATTTGCAAAGTATGTCACACATGGGAGGAAAACAAAGATTTCATAAGGGGAACTAAACTGAAAGTTTGACGCTCAACGAGGCTGATAATGAAGTACTAATGAGCATATATTCTTGACTCTTTCCCTATTTTCTCTTGACCTCTAATTTCACCTCCTTTGCTTTAGAACAAGGACAATAAAGTTTTCAAAGCAGTATTGTTGAAGGATAATGCTGGGAATTGTTTTTAAAATGTATTTATTGTTATTTGTTCTGGTTTGTTGTTACTGAATTTTCTGAGCTTGTCAGTATGGAAGCATCTTTTACACATCAGATCTGCTCAACCTGCAGTCTGCCAAGTCAAACACAGCTCAGAAACAGTGAGTATACCTCCTCAGTATATCGCTGCCTCCCTGAGAAAACCAGGAGGGGTTGGCAAGCCCCTGGCAGGAGAAGACAAGGCATGTCTCCTGGGTTGCATCGTATTTGGCTTGGTGAATTACAACATTCAGACCTGCTGAAGTGTCAACAGAACAATACATCACAATTAAATCACTGTCAAGGTGGAGTTCTGGAAAGGGGGGGGCACAGGTTGTTTCTTCTTCTTTTTAAATATGATCCTGCACAGTGATATGTGTGACATATTTTAGTGTGTGAACCTCGTACAGACAGAGGAGAGAGGGAGGAGAAGGAGGAAGGGTGGAGAGGGTGGATCTTTTAAATTTGTGACATACTTTGGAGCAGGCAAGGGCTCCCTGCATCTTCCAAATGCTTCTGGCTGCCCCTCCTAGCCAGCACAGCCAAATGGTGGAAAATGCTGGTAGGTGCTGTCCACCAACATCTGAAGGGCCACACACTGCCAACAACTGCTTTATAGACAGTCCCTGAATAGCAGAATTGTCTTGCTGTGTTTGTTTGAACTGACTGTGGGCAGCATTTAGAGTACTTTAGCTCATAATGCAGCTATTTAAATGTCAGAATTCCATTTTATGTGATAGGACTTTGGCTTAGTACCCCTGGAGGTACATCATCCCCAAGACTAGCAAATTGACTACGTGAGGTTTTTCTTATTTCATTTGTTTGTCTCTTCTGCAGTGAAATTCAGAAGTACAGTATGCTTGATATACACGTATAAGCATGTCCAAACCATTAGCTGCATATCAGTGCTTTACAGCACAATCCTATGAATGTTTACAAAGAAGGAAGTCTCAATGTATCCAGTGTGGCTTCCTCTTTAGTAAGTGTGCACAGGATTGCCACCTTAGTGAACGTATATATAAAGAGAGCTATTCAATAGAAAACATAAAACATTAATACAAATATATAAAATGACGTAATCAGTATAAAAATCATATATTCATAAAAATACTTTGTTTTGGTAAGAGTCTTCCCCTGAGGGTACACCACATATGTTGGATTCATAAATATTGCTCTGCACTGGACCTCAGTTATTAAAGTTCTTCTCTTCCAGGAAGTATAGATTTCTCCAGTCACCTGGCAGGTCTGCAGTGGTTGCCTCAGGATATGTTTCCTAGCTGAAGATGAAGAACTACAGCATTAACGGGGCCTCCGAAAAATCTGGAGAAGATTCCTTCTTCCACATATGGAAGATACAAGAGCAGGACCAATAGAAGAATCATGGTGAATCACATGGTTGGGCTTTCAGTGTTTCTCCTTCCACAGCAGTTCACTGGCTTTTCTGTACCCAGTCCCAGCTATCTTCATTCTCTTGCCTATTCTTCTCCGCCTCAATGATTTCTTTGTATCTCCTCCGAAAGAAGCCCATCTGAAATGTATTTCCAAAAATAAAGTCATTTTCATTTGCATGAAAATCTGAAACAAATCAGTTTCATTTGTACATACAATTCACATCACATCAGCATATTGTTGATTCGGGTTCCTTGAACAGATAGCTCCATTAACCTACCATATTTTTCCATGTATACAAGCCCCAATGATACGACAATCCCCTAATTTTGTCCCTTGCCAGAGGCAGAGGAGCAGTCAATGGGCAGCCGTGAGGGGCGGCTCCGCCTCCGTCTCCTGCTGTTGCTGCCTCCGCTGCCCAATCACATTGCCGCCTTGTCTCTTGCCTGAAGGGAGCCCGCAAGTGGCACTGGAGGAGGCAATCTGGTGGTGGAGGCAGCAGCAGCAGCAAGAGGCAGAGATGGAGGCAAAGGAGCCGCTAGTTTTCCTCTAATGATTTTAGGAAAAAGTGTTGTTTTATACACGGAAAAATACGGTAACTGGAACTCATTGGAGTTGGGGTAGAGAAGCTGGAATCAGAGAGAGGGCCAGATTTACTCCCTGAGAGCCCTTCTTGGGCTCCATGGTGGGAAAGGCAGGGAAATTTTATTTCTTCTTTGTTTTTATGGCCATGCTTAGTGATGTTTGGGAGAAAACTGGAATCGTTTGCTACTTTCTTTGCTGCGTTTTAAACACACCTTAAATGCTATTACAGATGCTGCACCTAAGCAATGTGAACCCCTCCAAAATAAACCCTCCATATTTCAATTTAAGAAAAAATTAAGAGGATCTCTTATTTTAGGATTATTAAACTGGACCCACTAAAGGGATAAAGTACTTACTTCACACATTCACAATAGCAAGGTTCAGATGTTTTGTCCAGGAGGGATGTACAATTCCATAACCATAGGCCCAGCATGTAAACATGAGAAACACTTCCTGAATGTCCAATTTGTAATGAACAAGAGCTACACAGCAATACAGCCATTCTGGACAGACTGCACCTTCTGTTTTCAATGGGAGACCATATTTATTGCCTCTTAAAAATTTTCAGCTCTTTTGTTCCATTTAGAAGTTGTGTAGGTGGCAATTTAATATTAATCAGTGGTTTTACAAGCCCCTGGTATTAACTAAAATAATTTGGTTGTGTAAACAATTGGGTTTTCCCTCCTTTAGCGGGATTTTTATGCCCTTTCCATAAACAAAAATGATAGTAATGAAGAGGTTTGGGTAACTGTTCAAGAGTAATTGCTTAAGTGCAGCAGCATGCCATTGAGATCATTAAGTCAATATTTTGTTCATTGTAATTAAACATTTATGTAGCTCCCACTGTTTTAAACCTGTTTTCACCCTCCTGCAGGGTGTGATGTTTTAGCCTACCTCCATCAGTCAGATGTTATTACCCTCTTTCCCAACATGAAGCATATTTAAAATGGCTTTGTACATTAACTTTGATCCTGCTATGCTTTTGTTAAACATGACTTTTAAATTGAAAATCTTTTATCTAATTAAATGTCTTACTACAGTCCAGAACTTTGGGGCTTATTTGGACTCTACTTAAATATGGTGTTGGGCATACAAGACAAAAAACTTTATCTGCACCATGTTGTGTACTACAGTGACTTGCTTTAAGGAGTACCCTCACTTATGCATTAGCTCACGAAGGGTGTGGGTCCAGCATCATGGTGTTATCTGTCCATAGTCCTTCTTCTGAGGATCTTTAGGGAACCTCACTTACTTTTTTGCCTTTGTTATTAGCAGAAATGATAACTGTTTGTTCTGGTGAGCAATGAGAAAGAAAAAGGCTGTGACTCAAAAACCAGCAGAGCTCAATTCTGGATTCTATATTTCACATGCCTAAAATGTTAGTTTTTCTTCCCTTGGAGACGCATCAAAGCTGGACCATATTCCAAAATCAGTGTTGTTTTTATCCAAGCTGGCTTTTGGTGGGATAGCAATAGAGGGCTCAGCTGAAATAACTAACCCACATCCGATGGAATGAAGCATGTTTGAGATAAGGCACTACAACCGAAGTCCACCATCTAAAATCCACCACAAGGAAGGGGAGATAATGGAAGCAGAGTTCACTCAGGGAAGAATATACAGCTGTTTCAGCTCTCTGTGCTTAGGCAAAGTTAGACTGCAAGAGAGAAAGCACAGAGTCTTTCAAGGGAGCATAAGATCTTTGGATGGTGGGTGGAGGGCAACCATCATGAGCAGAGATGGATCACACTACAGGGAAGGAAAAATGTAGGGACAAAGACCACAGAGAACTTTGAAAGCAAGACCAGAGAAAATGGTGGATCTGAGAATGAGAATGGGAACTGAGCCCATGTAGGGAACTACAGGACAGTACCATGCAAAGACAGAAGTGAACAATTTGGATAGTGATGGCAGTACTGCTGCAGTTAAGCTGTAGGAATGTCATAGGTTTAAAAACTTGACTGGTCAAGTACCTAGTGCTGACTGACAGATTCTGGCACTTGTCATCTAAAACAGCAACTTGTTCCAGTCTTGTTTGTGAGTATCTGTAGATTGTCAAGTCACACTGCTCAATGTCTTCCTTCCTGCTCTCTGTTGTACCAAACTTTAGGACAAATCCCTTAAGACAGGGACTTTATCCAGTGACTGTGTGCTAACCAAATGTAACATAAGCAAATTGTTTGCATCTTCCTTTGTGGTTGGGGTGTGGATCTGCTGCAGTGCGATCCGTGAGCTTAGTTTGCAAAAACAGTAATTGAGTTACTTGAAAAAGCAAAACTTGCAAATGCATTCTGAGTTGAGAAGCATGACATTAATCTTCCTTCATGTCCATCCACAGGTAACAATAAGATTATAACTCCACCACTAACACTTGTGAAGGTGGAAGAGGGAAAAAAGAAAGTTGGGACTACAGACTGGTTCACCCAGAACAGAGATGAGGTTTACAATGGTTTCTGATTGGAACCTCTTCCATAACAACAAACTATCACAGCAAAAACAACACATTCTGCTTATAAAGAACTATACTATTGTACTAGGGAGAAGAGATGAAGTATACTGTTTCTCTTGATGCTTCTGTGTATGCAAAAAAAATTTCGCTGCTTATGGAACTGCCATGGGTCCTTTTCAGGAGAAAGGCGGGTATTATAAATATATAAATAATAAACCATTTAACCCTTAAGAAATAATAAACCATTTAACTCTTCTTCTTGCTGTCCAGAATGACACAGTTCTTACCCTTGAGTGTACAATTGAGAAACCCTGCTGCATAGGCACTTTTAAAAGTAAATCAACAAGTACAGGAGAACACTATTTTATCACATGACTTGCATTCTTGAAATATGCAAAGATCTTGGATTGATATCCCTTTAAAACTGCTTGCTGAGCCCTAAAGGTGCCTATTCTTCACACAAACCACATATTCTGAACATTAAAATCTACACTTGAAGTTATGATCAAAATTACAGAAATGCTTTTTAATTTCCTCCAGGGCCAAACAAGCAAGAGCAAACTATTTCCTACTGTTCTTTTAATAAAAATTGTCTGCTTGCAGAACATCTGCTTCAGGAATTATCTCTAAAAGTTTGTGGCAAACGTATCAGGCTTTTGTAGTATTTCACAACTTGATAAAGAATATGTTGTGATAGCATCTCATAAGCAATAAAGGGAGTTGGAAAAGTTAATAAATATTAATGAAGCATGAAATCCAGAAACTACAGGTGATCCAGCTATGAAACTAGATAGGGAGTTTGCTGCAACCTCTATGAAGCATTCTGAACCTAGGTCAGAAAAGGGCAAGATCAACAGGGATATAGTGACATGTACACACATCATCAGCAGGGTTGGGCCTACACTTAGGCATAAGAAGATGCTTGCCTCAGGCAGCAGATGTTGGGAGCAACAGTTGGAGTCTTGTGGCTGTTACTCCTGGAATCCACAACTGTTCCTCTCTGCCAGTTGGAGCCTCGTGGCACAATGGTTAAACCGCTGTACTGCAGCCAAAACTGTGCTCATGACCTGGGGTTCAATCCCAGGTGGAGGCTCAAGGTTGACTCAGCCTTCTATCCTTCCGAGGTCAGTAAAATGAGTACCCAGCTCGCTGGGGGGGCAATGTGTCGCCTGCATAATTAACTTGTAAATCACCTAAAGAGTGCTTGAAGCACTATGGGGCGGTATATAAGCAGCACACTTTGCTTTGCTTTGCTTTGCTTTTGCCATGCGATTTATCCTGGGCTCTCTAAAATTACCCTGACATCTCAGGTATAGTGGAGGACATTTCCCCATCACAAATGTTCAAATAAGATTCAGCAGCCAACCTAGCCAGTTTCTGTACATGGAATGGAAAGAAAGCACCAGCAAAAATATCTGGTCCAGTGTTGAATACCATAAAGGATGTTCCAGTGCATTGGTTCTTCTCTACACAAAGTTGTTTAAAGTTTGTGTGAAGTTTACCCTTCACCACTACAATCAAAATTAAGGAATACCTTTGATCTTTGACCTGTGATTTATTCTGCCTGTGTTCAAACAATAAGTCACAGGTATGTATTTGACTCCCACTGAGTTTCTCACATACTTCTCCTTAGGTATATCAATGGGGATGTAGAAGCTTTTTCTTACTAACTGAACTTTAGCATGTCATCTGAATCTTATACTACAGTTAATTTTAATTTCAGAATTCATGGTTTGAGTTTAGCCTATTTCATAAAATGGTAAGTTTAATCACTTTTTTCCAGGTATGGACAGTATATCAAACTATGATTGTTCAAACAGATGAAAAATAGGCTTCTCTTGGTGGCCACACTAAAGGAAGTGGGGGAGGCAAGGCTCATTTCTGTGCAAGTAAACCATGGTTTGTCATTAGACATGGGAACGAATTAAAGAACAAATTGTGATATTTGTGAAATATCAGTAATTTGTGGGATATTCATTCCCTTATATCAGCCAGGTCCAGAGACCAAGACGAATATGAAGGGACAAAACATATTTACCTATTTTTATTCATCCCTTCATGCAGGCTGGCTGCGGGAATGGAAATGGGATTTGCCTTCCTGTAGCCAG